TTTGCCTATTTTTAAGGCGGGCTGCGATTCGCACGCAGCCCCGCGGCTGGAGATAACCATGCTTTAAAATAGGTTCCTCAAATACGCCTGTAAAGGTAGAGGAGCCGGCACCGTTACTCTCACCAGCGCTTTGTGAGGCATCGAACAAAACTCACTCTTCGTAATCCTGCGTGAGCTTCTGGTGGGTCCCGGGAGCAATTTATTTACAGGCTCCAAAGGAACCGCAATGCCGCTTGCTCCCTGTTTAACTCCCCTCGGGAGGACCCGTTTCCCCCGCGCTTTGCGCCGCTGCTGTCGGCTGAGCTCGGCACAGGCCCCGGCACCGGATTCAGCGCCAGGCGCTGCCCGCGGCCTGGCTGCTGACTGGGGACAGCCGGCCAAACCCCGGGCCACATCGCCTCGGCAATAAAAACTGGGGGTTTGGTCTTCCCAAAGTAGGCGTTCACCGGGAGAACGCTTGGGCGTCGGTCTGGTGGTGGTAGGTGGCAAGTGATTGCTTTTGCCTCGGTTATTTTTTCCTTCTTCTTCTTCTTTCCTTCACCTATTAAACCTTAACCCACAAATTGCCTTGCATTTTCTCGCTGGATTCTCCCCCGTCCTGGTGAGTGAGCAGCCCTCTGGGTGCTAAGCTGCTGGCCCGGGTCAACCCCACAAGAAGTGCAAAGGCCGGTGCTAGTCCTGCAAGCTACAGCTCTTAAGACTGGCTCAGCGTTGCACTTACTCATTATCCGTTCGTCACTGAAGCTCATATAACTCTTCATACACAGCTGAAATAAAGCCAAGCTGGCTCTTGTTTCAAACTTTTTTCCCCCTCATTTATGTGTGAGAATAAGAGCAGCGTTCAAGAAGTCTGACAAAAAAAATGTTATTTTCGACTATGAAATAAATGGAGTATCAAAAATTGTTGACAGCCCACACTTAGCTGTGGTGAAAACACGTTAGCCCCAAACACAATAAAGTCAGAGGAAAATCAGAATGAGAACCAATACTAATGATAAAAGAATTGGATTATGAGAAATCATACCTTTCTTCCCAGCGACTGCTTTAACAAAACTTAGAGAAGCAGGGTTTGATAAGTACACTTACAAAACAAAACAAGACCAAGCTGAGAAGCCTTTGATGTATTTGGTCGTCTTTTGCTTTGCAATCAATTTAATAGCTTTGAAGTAGAAAAACCCTGTACAATAAAGGACTTCTAATTTTTTTTTTTTTTTTAAGTAAAATGTAAGTGTGCCTGCTTGTAATACAAAAACTGGAACATGAACTATTCCCAGAAAATTTATAGCTCTGTTGAAAAGCAGTCATCATTTTCTTCACCAAAGAGCAACATATACCCACAAATCCACAAAAGGAGGGACTCCCAAATTAAGCCTGGGAATTTGGAATCAGGATTTATATGATCAAGAGGACTACAGTAGGCACCAGCAGGTGTGGAAAAAAAACCAGTACACATCAGCCTTGCTTTTTCATGCTCCTACAAGTCACTTCCTTGCAGCCATTTATTTGTGTTTTCCTTTAGATCTTTAAAAATAACAAAAAACCCCCACAATCCGATGCCTGTCAAAACAGCGGAACTGGTTCGCCTTAGAAGCACCAGACCCTGGAAAACTGCTCCATCAGAAATTTCCCTGGGTATTTCTGATGCTCACGGCAAAAGATGTAGAGTGGTTGAACTTGCTCCTTTGCTACCTCTGCGGGTTATATTCCTTCTATTCATCCCATCTGGCAAAAAATATTCCAGGGATCATCAGTTGTTAAGCAGTGCTTTGAGTTGCACATACTTTGGTCTTCACTCTGTTGAGTCAGTAGCCAACGTAAATCAGAAAAACC